TTATCACCCAACTTCTTATTATTCTGTTCTTATTAGTTTCTCATGCATTAAGAATTAAGACGTGGGCTAAATGGGAAGACCTACTTGTCATTCATAGAAAACAGTGATTTTTCCATTTTAAACGTACAGTCCATCATTTGCAGCTATTAAAAAAAAAGTAACTGGCGTAATTATTGTTGAAAAGCATACTTCATTGAAAGATAGTAATGGGACTAAACTCCCTGTGAAATTATTCTTTCTGGCCAGCTGTCATTTAAAGAAATCAATGAAAGAGGGCCTTTCCAAGGATGCGTCTAATAAAGATGCATTCTTCGAAAATTCTGTTAGTAGTTCATTTTTAATTTGGCGAAGCGGGCACAAGCGTTGACACGACGCACACGTGTGCGCGGTTGCTATAATTCATCGGTTCAGTGTGCAACATCGCGTAGCTGCAATCGGCTCAGTGAGAACGTGTCTCGGATGCTGAATTCAGGCCCAATTCAAAACATGACTCAGCAACCTTTCATTTGAAATCGAGATCCTAGAATATTGTTTTCTCAGAATACAAAGCATTCAGTGAGCTGAAACTTCATCAGGTTGTTCAGCACCCTTGAGCACTTTTGTTGCTTCAAACAAACATAATGCACAAATTACAATTGATGGACTGTACCTTCAATAGTATCAATTTTCAATTTGTGATCATCATCCTTTGTTTGAACCAATGTCATTGTGTGAAAAACTGTTTAACTTTCATAATGATAAAGCAAGCTGAAGTGGCTGAATGAACTTTTACGTTCAACACTTTTCCACCAGAACACATTTACTTTAATGATTGTGTAAACGTTGTGCCAACACCAAGGGTCAAGTTTTCACATTATGATCTTTCTGTCAAGGCCATGGTAAGTTTTTGATTAATGTGTGTAATTATAATGTGTCAACAGAACTCGGTAAACTCAGCGTTGGACAAATTTGCCATCGGAGCCTGAGCGATGTTTGCACAAATTAAAGACTGGAAATTACAATGTAGCTGTGTTTATGGGGGTTTGCTTGATGTAAACTTTAATACAACAGAAACAAAATTGCTCTGCAGTGCTAAGCCCCAGACCACGACTTCAGTGTTCAATACCATGACGTTATCAAATCGTATTTTGCTAATAAAGCAATGTGTAGTGTATGTAGAGTTCATGATCTGCAATCTTCACTACTAAAATAATGTCGCATGATAGTGTCAGAAAAAAAAACTTGCTACTGCTTATAATGACATTTCCTTGATCAATTATCTCAACTTCCTGCAAGTAAAATGTCAAATTGGTGGCGATGCAGTTTTCCCCAATTGTTTGTTTGTTTCCAGGCAACAGACAAGCATTCCTGCTAAATTTGTTAGCTTCAGCACTGGTCTATTCTTTACAGTAGTCGTCTGAAAGCAAATGTGATAGCCGAGCGTAATTATACACGAACGTGTACAAATCTTGATTCCCTTTGAATTATTAATGTAGGGGTTGTTAAAAATTCAAGGCTGGTACAGCAGTGGTGACAATATGTGTTTTCTACCAGGGTAACATATATTAGTCGATGCATGAACAATTTCTCTCATACATTGCATGTCTCGTGACATGGGTAAAATTTAACTGTGCCCAACATTATATTGTCATCTGCACAAAAAATGGCTGTAATTAGTTATTAGTCTAAACGTAAGCGAAATATGAACTTCTTTATCATAATTCCATTAGTGTCTTCCATTCAAATTAATATTTTCTGAAGACTACTGTCAGGACGAAGACTATTTTGGCAAACTTCTTACGCAGATATTCTCATTGGATTTGGAATGCGATTTGAACAATTAAATGACCTATCGATTTCTGGTTTAAATACTGTCCCAAGTAAACTTCTTACGTCACAATCCAGTACCCATTTAGAATTTGAGAAGTTAACTGTCTTTCAAAAAGTGTTTTTATGTTTAATGCCTCCTTGTTGCAAAGATGCCTAAAAATATATAATTTTTTTAAATGTGCACCATTAACCAAATCCCCTTCAGTAACAAACTAATTGTTTATGTACGAAAGGTTTTGGAATATTTTTGGAAACTTTTCAGCATAAGAATTTTAATTTCATAAGAAACAAATGGGTAAGTTGATGACCCATTCCCAAAGAGCAGGTCGCCAAAAAAAAAAAAAAAAAAAATGATTTGGATTATACACGTAGAGTCAAAATTTAATATTCAATCAGTCTGTCTGTTTGTTAAAGTCGGCTTCAAATCTCAGTTCTGTACACGAGACGATTTCAAGCAGGTAGCACAGTGACATAAGGATGCTCCATGTCCATGAGATGTAAGAGGGCCAAGCAATGTGAGAGGCCTCCAGGAATGCAGGGGCAGATTACAGCGCTGGTGCTGACAAGTCATTTATTTGGCACTCCTGGCGAGATGGCCCAAGTGATTTAATTAATTTGCCAAGTCACGTGAAGAAACGAAACCAAAGTCGGGATGGGTTTAGCTGTGCAACCACCTCCTCTACCCCCCCCCCCCCCTCGAAATTCAACTACCTCTCAAATCAGAGTCAAATGGCACAGGTATCGCGTGTCTGCGTTTTGTGAATCTTTAAGCATTCACGCATGACCAGAAGTGAATAAATAAAAATAAGTGGATTTATAGAATTGTGGTAACCAAATTTCAAGATGAGAGGACAAAAAAGATTTCGAAATGCTGAGAGTAAAAGTCAAAATCCACGTACCACAAAACATGACATTCAGATATGCTCGGATTAGATGAGGTCGCAGAGAGAATGCAATAAAATGTTAATTTTCACAGCAACAGAACAAGCTGGGAATTAGTAAATCGTTGTAAGTTTGATGAAGACAAATTTAAAAAAAAACAAGTTAACCCGGGAGAAACACCCATGCATCCAAATCGCCACAGTTTGTTAAAAATACATTTTTTTAAGATCTTTTAAAAATTAGGAACATCAAGCATTAATCAACCTTTTCCAGAATAAAATAACGTTAGAAACATGTGCCTTTCATAAAGAACAAACCAACCCACGGTTCCAAAACAGGATTTCCATGGTAGTCAACGGCCTCTCCTGCTGTAACTTCAAAATTTAAACGATTCCAACAACAAATTGCAATATTTTTTTTATAAAAACGAATTAAACATCATCGCTGAAATGAATAATGGCATAATATAAATCTGGCACATTAGAAATCAGATGGTTCGGTCGCCATGTGCGTGTGATGAATGTGGCAATTAACAGGCGTGAAGTGATTTTTTTTTTCTTTTGCCATGAATGGCTTGGCGGCGTCTTGCGATTTTGTCTTGTCTGGTGATGGAACACGTCCAGCGTGGAAGAAAAAAAAATTAAGAAATGTATGGCACTGTCAATAATGTCTGGCCAGTCGCAATCTCACTGGTATTAAAGACTCTCCTCCATTCAGCATCTGTTTCTCACATTCTCACACCAAAAAAAAAAAGAAGACATGACATACCTTTATTAGGGAAGCAATGACAGACAAATGTACCGGGTATATTGGACATAAAGATCAACTTTAGGTATTCTATACATTATTATAATAACTAACAAAAAAAATGGGTTTTCTTTTGACAGGCAAGGTGGATTTTATCAATAAGACGGGATAAATTAAATAAAACTTTTGTATTTGAAGTCATTTCAAGATTTCATCAAAAACAACCTCCCAAAAATTTGGAAACCAAAAACAAATTCTGGTTGACAATAAACCTATCGCGGTAGAATAACATCAACGCATCTTGTGAAATATTGTCCAATTGTATACAAATGGACGCGGAACGCGCAAAATGTGAGACAAACAAAATTTACGTACAAAAATATCATAAGGTTGTCTAAGTGGCTTGGCTAACTCGCAAACCGCGATAGGTCAATTGATTTCACAGGCAAAATTTTTATTAAAATTTGTCAGAACACTATACAAACATGTTGAATTATTCATGCAGATTAGTAGAAACACGCCGTTCACAAGAAAATTTCAATCATAATCATATTCCAAATTATAAAAAAAAAGGAAAAATACATAAAGAAAGAAAAACACATGCATCGGTTGCTAATGCTTGCCTACATGCAAATAAAACAATCATGAATAATGAAATGAGTATCAAAGGCTTATCAAACAAAATTGAAATGCAGTAAAGCAAGCATAATGGGTGACCATAGAATAATGAAATCGGAACTGGATTATAAGGGGGAAAATAACTAAAAATAAGAGAAAAAAATTGACAGTTTCAAGCCTGGAAATTTCAGTGCGTGATTTAACAGCTTACATTTTTTCTTTACCTTTTTCTTAACCAGTTCGCGCCGGGAATATTTTTGCCGAAAAATTCCAATTTTCGCAAAAGGCAAAATGTAGCAGCCAACTTCTGATATACAGCCAAACACCACAAATACTGATTCGCAAGAGTAATTTCAACAGTATTTGTATGATATTTCTTGCCGAAACCCCATAATTTTCAACACCGAGGGGTGAGCAACAGAGCGTAAATTGTAGAACAATACGCCATGCACAGCGGCCAATTCAAGATCATCACACAGACTGCCTCCACAGACAACACAGACTTTGTGTGTGTGTACAAAAGACACAAGGGATTAGCGCGTTTAGACGTCACCCAAAGGTGAGTCCAGGCACGCTTGACATTTTAACCCGTCAGCCGTGCCTGCATATAAAAACAGCCAGTGCGCGATAACATGGCCCCCGACGCAAACTGGTTACAAGGGGATTTACCCCTTTTTTTCTGCACTATGCAAATGTAAAGGGAAAACCAGAAACTTTGAACTAAGTCACTGAATTGAACTTGCTCTGTGACTTTACCAAATTTCATGATATCAGTTTAATGTACTTTTGGTAATGCACAGATACGGACCTCGGAGCAAGGGTCTAACTGCAACCGATTTTTATGACAACCTCTTGAACACCGGGATCATTATATGAAGAGGGGAACGGTAAAGGGTTAAAGTCTCCAGACTTGAGATCAAGCATGCGGCAGTGAATTACGTTACCTTGGTCAAGTCCAAATCGGCATTGCTTTTGACAGCGGTCGGTGATTCCAACGCCTTCAGCGTACCAGTGGATTGACTGAGCTCGCTCAGCTCGCTCATAAAGGCCTGCACATCAAAGAGAGTGCAGTGAAACACAAGGGGAACAAACCACACGGGTGGGGGAAAGTGATATGTGAATGGTGGGAGAAAAACAGGGGTGGGGATCCGGATGACGCACATAGAGAGACAAACGGGGTTGGGAGGTACACGACAAATGGACAAATAGAGTAGGGACAATAGACAAATAAAGTTGAGAATGATGCACATAGAGACACAAAAGGAGTGAGGTGCGTGGGGAAGGGGGGGGGGCATGACATAGGTACAAATGTGGAAACGGTTCACATTCGAACAGAAACAGGGGGAAGGAAGCATGTGGTGCAGGGACAATCATTAACAAAGGGGTCATCAGCAGACGAATTTGAAGAACGAAGTGAATTTGAAGAACGAAGGGAACACACACGAGAAAAGATCAAGGAATCAACGAGTGTTGTGGTTAAAACAAATTTTAGGGATTGTTGATCAAGATCATGTGAAAGATAGAAAGAAAACATAATGGACGGAACAAGAAGGAACAGTGAACGGGTTTTGGAGGTTTACGAGAAGGCAGGGAATTCAAGGTTGAAATTTGTTTTTTCAAGTGTCAACACGGAATAATAACAAGACAGGAAAACGATTTTGTAACGATAGGGTAATGTTAAGGTACAACGGTGACATTGGCAAAAAGTACGGACAAACAGAGAGTGGCATACCAATTTGGGCATACAACAATGAATCCACATTCAATGGATAAGTAGACACCATGACAAAGAACAATGATGAAAAGATGCACCAAGAAGGACAAAACATTGATATGGGGAAGGGTGAAGTGGGGAAGGGTAAAGTGGGGAGGGGGGAGGGTGGGGGAGGAGGGGGGCGGGGGAGGGGTGAGTGACATGGATGAGGGAAAGAGAGAAAAGAAGAGACAGAAGAAGGTGCATAGATCAAGCCGAGTGTAACTGTGAGTGCGTTTGTCTGGAAATGGGCTAGAAATTACTCTGCTCCGAGAAAGGGACAATTGTTTATCATTTCTTTTTTTTCTGTCAAAACTGCATTATCTGCTTCGTGAAACTTGCAGAGAGCACAGTGTTTTCAAGAAATGAAAAAATAAAATCTCTAAATCCAAGGTGATTGTCTTTCAGCATTACGAAACAAATCTAAAGGAATAAAATGTGTACAGGTAGGACAAAAAGAAGAAATGTGATTTGAATTCAGATCATGAAGAAAACAAAAAACCACTCCAAATTTGTCTGGGGTAAGAATTATTAAAATAAGTTGGTTTTAAATACTGCCCAAAACACATTACCAAGGTGGCATGCCCATAGCAGCCATCATACGTGTACCAATAATCTGCACAACTGACAGAAATCAAGTTGGGTTTTTTTGGCTTTTTTTCCTGAATTTGCTGGATTTGGGTTTTTTCCACCGCTGACAGTTTGGGATGGTTTTTTTTTTTTTTTTTTTTTAAATCATAATTTCTATTAACATGTACATTCAAGTGATGACTGGTGATGGTGATTTTGGCTGCTATGGCTAGTGCAACACTGGCATGGTGCATGGTGCAATGTGCAATGTGCTCATTCCAAATGACTGTCTACCGGTACTATACGACACACTGTATACCACAATGACAACATGAGAAGGCCGTGTACACATGTACATATATGCTGTCATTCTACCGTGATTCTCAACCAACTACTAAACAACATACACGTACACTCTTCAGCAGTCACTCACAGTTCAATGCAAAACCATTTAAAGTTTAATGCAACCCCATTCTTAAAACAAGAGTCAACACTCTCCAGACGGAAATTTTGGTGTTCCAAATTTTATGGAACAGCAGCTTTCCAAGGATGTTGATGATGTCGATAGAAATTAAACTTTATTTTCCCTTCCTTTAAAAAAAACCCACTAACAACCAAAAAATCAAACAGAAACAAACTTTCCCGCAAATAAAGTTCAGAGGAAAGGGGGTTATAAAAGATAAACCCAAGTTGCTAAAACAATAACACTTCTGTCATGAACAGTTGCTTAACTGAATATAAAAAGAAACTTACTACTCATTATCAGAAGAGTTCGATTACCAATCAGCATCAATCGTAAGAAATTTGAAGAAAAAATTTGTAGATCGATTGCTCGTGGTCCAAAACATAAATATACCAACATTTGTGGGGTAGGTTAAGGGGAAATTGGGGTCAATAAAGGTGGAAAAACTTTGTGCACAACCCCAGGGGAATGTCTCCCTCGTGTACCATTTCACGTAATAATAACTCTGATACTAACATAACTTGGCTTATGAAAGAAAGGTTTGCGGAAACACCATGTGCGAATAATTTCTCAACTAAAGAGAATGGTTCTGAAAAGAACCAGAGGTATACACGTAAACTCGACGTTCCGGTCAGTATGCTCTGACCGTCTTCAGGAGAGTGCCTAAACTCTAAGAAAGTAAACACTTATTAGTAGCAACAGTGAAATTGATGAAGTGTGAAGTTGCATCCTGTGTGGATGCCAAGTAGCTGGGATCCTAGAGCAAGCTTGGTGCCCACTGAAGTGGAACAGTAGGGTTGCAGTCTCAGTAGAGGGAGGACCTAGGGTATAGGAGACCCATTAGTCTTAGGTAATAGCAGCGGACCTAGGGTATAGGAGACCCATCAGTCTGGAGGAGTGGGAGCCAGATGTCGTTGAGGTGAAATTTGGCTTGACCCTACTCCTAACACAGCTAAAAGCAATAACAAACATAAGTTACAAGCTGAATTTCAAATGAGGTACCGGTACCGGTACCGGTATATTAAAATGTACTTGATGTGTATCTAGTATTTGCCTACTATCCTGCCAGTAAGTAGGGCCTACCGGTAGTTCTCAGCATTACAAAAATATATATTTTCTTCTCTCTTGCTTAGCACACAAGCATATATAAAGCAATACTGTTTCCTCAGCTGCTCCTCCTGAAAGCCTGAAAAACCTTGCTAAGCTGCTTGGAACGGAACCCATTTACCTATAAGTACTGGTGCCCATATTACATGTAATCTCCACTTATATAAATCAACAATCAATTCAACTATAAGCACTGCACTTCTAATCCGTGGGCTCTGTGGAAAAGATCTGCCTCCTTTATCTAAATGCCCTGATTAACTCTGAAAAAGGTAACTGTAAACAGTTACTCGAGCTGTATAAGCTGTCACCTATCAGGGCCCTTTGTGCCTTAAGCCATTCACAGTAATCTTCAATGTAAACAGGTCTATCTGAACTGTAAACTATATTACTCTGAAGTAGCTGAGCTTTTACATAAGGAGAGTAATCCAAGTGGTACATGTATGATAGCACTTAGGAAGCCACCACACATCACTTTGTATGGGACCATTGAGTCTCCCTGTTCACCCAATCAAGTGCTTCATAGTACAATACTAATCATTAACCTCAATTACTACCACACTGGGCAATTAGTTGTCCATCAATTCACTGGAAAAAAAAAGTGCATGGCATCTCTGCACTTCTCCCCTGACACGGCCCGACCATCAATTGCTCCATGGTCTGACCATCATGAATTAATCATCCTTATCTCATCAATGAATGTAAATTGTAATCTGCACCCATCATGCAGAACTCATTAGCTCGAGCCTGTCACAAAGTACAGTATTTAACCCTGGCAGCCTTTTGAATATCCTTTCGTCTGAAGATATGCATAATTATTTTTCAGTTCAACTACATCAATTGTGCAAATTTTTTGTGCTTGTTTCGTGTTTTCTTTTTTTGATAGGGGGGGGGGGGTAATGTTCCACAGTGACAACCTACTTTGTATCCTTCGACTCTCAATCAACAAGGCAATGTTTCTAAGTGATCTTCATTTGATCAGTTTAAATAGCAGATTAAAGTGTCGCACATAAACAAACCTTGTTGCATGTAACTCAGATAAACTAATCCCTGCCTCCTAATCTGATAAAGGTCATTTCTGATTTACCCTGCATGTCTACTGTGTTCATTTCACTGCACATGTACATGAAACAATATACCGCAGCAGCGGCATCTTATACAAGTCAATATTACAAGGAATCTGATCCTAAAATTTGTCATAGTAATCATCGATTTCCTATTTAGGCATCAGTCCCTGCATACCACTTGAAACTGTCCTGATGATTACTTACTGTAGGGCTCAAAACCTTCAGAGCACTGTACTGATGGTTTTCTGGATTCTTCAGAGAATAAATTAAATACAATGTAATACAATGTAATACAATGTAATACAATGTAATACAATGTACCACAGGTGCTCCTGGGTTAAATCAAATTGACCCAAATCTCATTCTGTAAAGGTTTGGGAGTACTGCCACCCCCCCCCCCCCCCCCCCCCCTATAAATGAGGTTTAATAGGATGGTGTGAAACATCATCGTCACCTTTGAATTACAAATAATAAAACTTTCGCTGTGAATTTTGTCCTTTTTCTCTTTTGTAGGAATACGATCACAATTTCTACTTTACAACAAGCAATTCAATGTACAGCCCATGGTCAGGTCTTCTTTTGATTAATTCTTTCAATTGTTTTTTTTTTTCGGTTTGAAGAAAAACGTCAATTATTCACATCTTCTTTTATCACTTACAATGTATTCTGACCGCTTGACTGATTCTGCCTCCATTTAGCCCTCCAGGGGCCACAGTTGACGTCAATCGTTTGAGGTTTGTTTTTTTGTTGCCCCTGCCAGCAAATTAACAATTCTGGTCACATGTCCATAATGGCACGAATAAAAAGTGGGAAAGAAAAAAATTTCACAAATCGACGACGACCTGAATCTTGAGTTGTCGTTAACAGGACCCGATGATCAGGGAGGCTGCTCAGCAATTGAGTTACTCAGTCAACCTTAATTAGCTGCTGGAGTCTGTGTGGCGCAACCGCCAGACAGCAATACATAACTGATGATCATTCCGTGACTGTGGCAAACAATCACGACCATAATATTACTTAAACCCCCCCTCCCCCCCCCCTCTGATATAATAAAAAAAAATCCAAATTCTTGCTTTTGTTGCACAAATTTGTACAAAGATGTGTACAACTGGGTATATCTGTGTGAGATAAACTGTAAACAGTGTCTACAAATCGCTTCTATAAAAAAAAAAAGACAACAAAAAGTGGCTTTTATAAAAAAATGCTGATCTAATCTTTGCATTAAGATCACCATCTAATCTTTGCACTTGTCACCAAGGCCTGTTTGATTAACGTCACCACAAACACACACAGGTGTACGTGTGTACATCACACAACAAGGTACAAGGTGGTTACAGCTACACCTAGTAGAGCTCCCAAAGCGTTGGAAACTGGTTATGAAGTGCAGTACTTGTCAGCTTCAAAATACTCAGGGGAAGTCATATCCTAGAGCGCCTCCAAACTAATCCTACCCCACAGATCTCTACAGATTGTCCGCAAACAACGTTGAGATTGGGCATCATTTCCCAAAAAAAACTCCCTCTCCCCGTGCCCCGGACAATTACTGAGCCACTCCGAAAATAACATAATCGCCGGCGGGCTCCTCCAAAAAAAATATGAAAATTCCCCGCTATTCATGTGGCTCCATCTGGGGAATTCTGTCATCGGCTCTGCCTGAATGAGACTCATATCCCTGGCTATCCCTGGCTCTTTCTGTCATCATCTTTCCCTCAACTATTCATTGGCATTTCATCGCTGGCTGGCCCTCAGTTCATCCCCGGCTCAAACTCCTGTCTCTTGACGCCTCATCATCATAATTATCTGCAGTCTTTTCGCTCTGTTCCCGTCGTTCATCTCTCTTTTCATCACCCTGTCCTGTTTATCCCCCGTCCCTGCTTTTACGCTCCACCTAGCTCTGCTTCATTATCCTCTGCTGTTCCTCATTTGTAACTAACCCATGGAAATTATTTCTCTATTTCTATTTTTCTTTACTCGTGGTTTAAAAAAATCTGTCCTCGGTTTAGGAGGCATGTTGCGGACTAATAACTAATTTCAGATCTTTTACAGGCCGCAAGGTTTCAGTTTTAACTACCTATCTGCAATCAAATTCCCTTCGGGGAATATGAAGCTTCCATATTAGAATCCTGGTAACTGCAATGAGTGTCAAATGCACAATTCTATCCAACAAATGGGGGGAAAATTAAATTGTGTATGCATCAATGGTCTATCAGATCTTATTAGACTGACCTGTTTGTATTTTGCACTGTAGGGACACAACATTACCACATCCTTTGGTCTATTTGTTTTCTAGTCTGCATTTTAATTTTTTTTTTATTGCTTCATGACTGAAGTTTACATACCGTACATGTACAGGGTGTAGCCTAACATCTTTTTGTAAGCAAAGCCACAACAGAGACTGGAGTGTCTGCTTTCATTGATTCTTCAATTTTCAAAACTAAGACATTACATTACAGCGTGCAAAACGTTACTGGTACATGGACGTTTTCCCCAATATTACATTAACTAATTTTCTCCCCTTATTAAAGTTTCCTTCAACAAAACACCTTCACTGATGTCATATCATCATGTCCTTGTTACCATAAGGGTCATCATTATCATAGTTACCGAGTTCATAACTGAACTGACTATTATAACCAACAAAAGGATCAATATTTATCAAATCACACCGAGCACTACAATCACCAACATACATGCCTTACCTACACCATCATGACCGTCACCACTATCATCACCTCGAGTCAAACCTTATCACCACTACCACTAACTCACTAATCACTGCCTTCTTACACAACTATCACCATCATATCACTTAAAGATGCATTTCAACCTCATCAGCCCTCTTTTAACCCCATCTCCAATGCAACCGCTTTAATCTCTCCACGCTACATGTTAAGAAAAAACACACAATGAACCCTACTACTCCTAGACTTCTACAACAACCCTTCCCCGACCCTTCTTACCGATTTATCGTGATCCTCGAGAAGAAACACCAAGCATCGCTCGCACTTGAGCAGCGTGATGGCCTCCTTCATAATCTTGTGGACCACGCTCTCCAGGGAGGTCTGTTCCTCAAAGATGCCACGGGCCAGCTGCAGTAGCATCTGCAATGGGGAGCAAGGAGATCAGGCTATGGTCAACACTGTTGGCTTGTTGGGGGTTACATGTCCATGTCCGTGTACAGTGTCTTTATGGCTGTTTTTTATTTAGTCCTCGGGCAAGAATGGCAAATAGTGGACTGTGTGTGACACAAAAACCAGGAGGATTTAGGATACGAATCAACAGAAGAATCTTGCGTTTTAAGACATCCTCGTTTCTTTGTTTCCTTTGTAAATTTTTTACGATAAAAGTAATATACAACGTATGCTTTTGCTGTAATTTTCAGAAAGGGATGGATTTGGGGGTTAGTATTTTATAGCAATTATTGTTACACTGACCTGTTGAAAGAGAATGTGACATAAATATTGTATAAATGTTATCTGGAAAACTGCCATTAATGAAATAAAATGACGGCTATCGATGTCTGAGAAAAAATTCCATTGATGATTTAGGGCCAAGTGTAGTTTCACCAGTGAACTCCATTTTCTTTCTCGTTTTAAAGAGTTGTGGTGCTTTTGGAAAGAACCATGTCACAAATCATAGCAGTAGAATGAACTTTTGCCTGATGGCACATTGCTAATGATCAACAAGTAATGAATTTAACTCTGAGACTGTGACCAAGCAAAGGTTGAATTTTTTCTTCACTGAATCTGGATGAAATTACAGCAATTAGCAGTTTTCTTCTGCAATTACAGGTTCAATATGCACATGTACTTTCAGATTTCCCCTATTTTCTAAGTCCATCCCTTTTTATAAGGCTTTTATCTTTAAAACAAGTTTTTGATTTTTTTTCTTGAGCATTTGTGTTACCCTTTTTCTGCCACTTACATGGGACAGTCCGTAAAGGTGGGGTTTAAAAGTGTGACAAGTTTGTTTCCCTGTTACACCTGACCTGTGTAATTCACAATGCAAGTATCATTAAATTTGACTTTTTGGCAGGTACTTTAGAAGGTAAGAACGTGTCTTGAATTATATTGTATGCATGGTAACAGGGAAACAACAAAAATTTTGACCCCAATTTTATGGACCGACCCACACATCTTCTCAAGAAGAGAGAATTCACAAAAGAAATGTCAAGTCATGTGGGCACACATGCACATGAAAGATCATCTTTTATGATAAGCATCAAGGGTCTGAATGCCCTCCCATCTCTAAGACGACGTCACCACAGTGTCAATTGATATCCCTTCCGGGCCTTTTTGTCTCCTTCTCTCTTCCCAAACATTTTCCCCGTAGCGCCCACGGCCTTGATCTTTCTCGAGAAAATACATCATTGGCAAATTGTCTTGCCGAAACCTTTTAAGGCATCTCCGGCCCCGAGCTCAAAAAGTCTGCCGAGCCGCCGCACAACGGCCGCTTAAAAGGTGTCAGCAAGTCAGGGATTTTCTAAAGGATTCTTGATGGCCGTGCACTACGAGAAAAAAAAAAATCAAATGTGTTCTTTGGAGACTTCTGCCCTGCTGCTTGACAGGCCGAAGAAACAAGAAGGGGGGGGGGGGGGGGGTTCTAAGCGCTCTGAAATCTAACGTCATTGAGCGGAGTACTCCCATGGGGAATTTTGAAGACATTGAGGCAAGTCGTTGAGCGGAAGGGAATCCCACTCTTTCCTCCCTCATATGGCCCACTAAGAGCAAATATGCCGCACCAGTGCATGTTGTTGCTAGGTAACGCATCATCTATTTTGACAAGGGGCTCCCGCTCTCTTTTCCCTCTGCACGTTTTTTTTGCTTTATTTTCTCGCCGTATTCAACTTACATGTAGACATACAGAGGACTATAGAAGAAAAGGATACTACTTCTTTGGTGTGTTTGGAATAACAAAAGCGGTACATAAAATTGTAATGTATGTAAAGTGTCATTTCAAGAGAATGTTATGTGATAGGTGTTGGATTTCAATGTTATTTTAAATTTAAGAGGGAGAAAATAAATATGGGCTTGAAGACAAAACGAGGAACTTAAAATTTAGACTTTGTGGAACACTGTTAACTAAATAAGATGGAATTTTGCGTTAACTGTTAACTAAAGCTCTTTGAAATTTAGTATTCTGAGGTTATTTTTTTGAGCGATCAAGATTTGTAAAGAGGATTTTGTACCCTTGATTAATCTCAAGACTAATATTTAATATAATCTCCAAATCAAGTTTTAAGAGGAACTAAAAATCGATCACACACAAATCAGGTTTTTTTTTCACCATCGATCAAAAAAAAGTTGGAAATTGAGTTGAGTGGCTTACATTCTCCTATATGCTGAAAGGAACGAATGCCAGCCAGTGTTGAAAACTGCTAACGCTAAATGCATGCATTACCTGATTGCGTTTGTACTCGTTGACGGACATCTCAAACAGCTGGGCATTCATGATGCCGATACCGCAAAATGTCAGGTAATTCCTGAAGACCTGGAAAGCCAGACAGAGAGAGAGAGAGAGAGAAAAGAAGAGAAAAACAAAATCAGAGCTACGTACTCTCTCCACATACATTGTACCTGTGTAACTGAAGCCGAGAGACAACATATCAGGGGCCACTTCATTGCTGTTCATGGTACAGTAAACCTTGCAGGTGTTGCAGACAATCACAAGACATGAGTACTGATTAAAATGTTAAAGGTGGGCTGGGAGTGGGAGGACGGAAGAGAATACAACAATAGTTCGTTTATCATATTTTGCCTAGCGGAAAGCAGTTTGCTCTTATTTTTCACATGTGAGAAAATAATTACTTTACTTTTACTTTTCTTTGGGGAGAGAGGGGCGGGCAAGACAGAGTGAAATTTGGCCTAATTGCCCGGCCCCTCCCCCAACCCCATGCAAGAGACGGTTTATATTTGAAAAAATTGAAAGGTACACAAAGTATGCATATGTACATACCGGTACCTCATGGAGGAACACAAAGGTACTAGTACATGTACCGTTAAAGCTATAGTCCATCATTTGCAGCCATCCGAAAAAGTAACTAGCGTATTATTGTTGAAAAACATACTTGGTTGAAAGATAGTAAGTGGACTACACTCCCTGTGAAATTAATCTTTCTGGCAAGCTATCATTTTGAAGTAATCAACGAAAGAAGGCCTTTCCAACGGTGCATCTTAGGACGCACCGTAGGAAAATTTAAATTAGTAGTTTGTTTTGTTATTCAGCGCAGCACGCGCAAGCATTGGCAGGACACACAGGTGCGCGCGGTTGCTATAATTCGTCGGATCAGTGCCCGACATTGCGTATGGCTGCAATTCAAAACAATTCAAAACATGATTCAGCAAATTTTGATTTGAAATTGAGATCCTAGAATGCTGTTTTTCTCGGAATATACAGCTGAAGCTGAGCTGAAACTTCATCAGGTTAGTTGTTCAGTATTCTTCATTAGATTTTGAACACTTTTGTTGCTTCAAACGAACAAAATGCACAAATTACAAATGATGGACTATATCTTTAACAGTGAAAGTACATGGTACGGTACCTGTCATGCCTGTACGTCAGTTTACAGGCCATTGCTGTGCAATGTTCCAGCATTGTAAATTGCTGTTGCGCTCATGCCAGGTTGTTGTTTTTAGTCTCCAAGGCTTTGACCCTGATTTTGCAGGTCAAGCAGCAGACTTGTGGGGCAGTGGGAGTATTGGGAGGTCTACATGAAGCATGTAACATTGATACACTACGGGCTATTTTGCCAGTCTGTACAGTGTACCGGTATACACCGATTACACCTTACACCTGTGAAGGGCAGCGCTCCTAAACAATTAATTGAATTCTGTAGTTTGGCAATGACAATGCCATTAAATGTTGTGATACATAATGTCAGTACATACTGGTGCTCTGTTTCTACTCTATTGCCTTACATTTATCCGACAAAATTTCCTCATTAATGAATAAAGGTACCGGTATACTATTATTACTATGGCCAGAAAGCATTTTTTTATCTGCCTTTTTTTGACACACAAATCCTAACATTTACTTAAATAAAACTGTACAATGTTACGATACTCCAAATGTCCTATTTTAAAATTCTTTTTTTTTAAGAAGGAGAGGTTTTCATAGAAAAATAGGAATTACTTAATGCATGTTTCCCTGTTGTTATAGAATGTGGTTTTAAAAAGTCTACATTGTATTAAAAAAAAAAAAAAAACATGTACATGCAACTAACATGTGCACACAACATGTTCTGGTTCCAGTACCTCTGTTCTTCAATGTAATAAAACTTTTACCTTTAGGCCTATAACATTCAGTTGAAAATTATAATTGTTTTGAATTTGATGAAAGTACAAGACTGCGTACACAAACACTCCTGACAAGCATTGCGCATGTTAAACAGCATGTACCGGGTACGATACACAGATGCCACATTTGAGATTCTGGATGAATCTGTTGTAGGGTTGAACCCCCAGCATCATGAAATTTATGATGCCATTACGCCCCATGTCACACTTGTTGGAGCCCATTATTCATCAAACATAAACATTCACAGAAGGACCTGTGCCCTACAGGCCTCGCTACAGAAATATACAAACTGGCCCAAAAAAAAAACAGGGAACATTTGTTTTCAAAAGAACATTGTCACTCAGAGAGTGGCGCCTTGCTGTCCTTGTCACCTGGATGCTGGAGCAACATAATTCATTTAGTACGCACAGTGTTTCAATTTGCGAGCATTCTCAAGACATGTGATTTAACTAAAGGGAAGTAGAATCAATACATAACACACAGCAACCAATAAAACTTCAGCAGCTGCAAGGGCATACTTTTTTCATGTGTATGTACCAGTAGATGTACATGTACAAGAACATGAAAACAAATTTCTCACTTTCCTTGCTGTGTTTTCCCTTCATTTTAAGTCATTTTTGTCATTTGATTTTATAACTCACTTAGTCCATACCTTCCTCTACCCAGCCCTGCCTCTTCCTACCCTACCCTTTCCACCCTCAGCCTCTCCCCCACTACCCTCCATCCTACCCTACTCTATACATCTTTTTCCATCCTGTCCCGTCCTATTCCCTCATTTCCTTCCCCAAATCACCCTTTTGCCCTAAATCCTACCCTACTGTTCCCCACTTTTTATGACTGGGATATAACATAATTGTGTACTATTACTATTCCATCTTATAATACTAATACTATTGTTTAATATTTTTGGTATAATTGTCAATGTATTGTACTTTATACCCCTTTTTTTTTAAATTAGTGTACACTGGGATATCAATTGTCACTTAAGTTTTAAGCATGACAATAAATAAATCTTGAATCTTGAATCTTAAATTTATGAGGTCATGCAAATGAAAAAAGGGGGGGCACTAGGGGATCAAATTAATTAACAAAAACAGAGTCAAAGAAAAGCTCTTGAGAATTTGTTTGAAAGGGAAAACAAGTTCTAAAAAAGGAAGGAGATTTGGTTCATTATGTTTAAAATCTAACATGGCAGATATCTGGAATGGGTATGGAAACGTTCAAAGACATTAGTACTGATCAGTCAATTATTGCAGTGCACACTTAGTGACAAAAAGTATTTGTGTACTGGACCAGCAGTTTAAGCCATCCTGTGGGTATTTTACGACCGGTGTATCCTTGATATGTTTCTAAAATAAACCACCAAGTTTGTGTCAAGTGTGCAAGGAATGTATCTTGCCTGTTTGGATAGGATGCTGTCATCAAAATATTGACATTGGGGTTACTTGGAATGGATATTCCTATCCTCAAGGCAATCCAAAGAGTAATAAGGTTGATGAATTGCAGATATAAAGATGCAGCATCACGCAAGCTTGCAATTAAAACCCGATATCATCGCCGTCTGGGCAGCGCATATGCGGGTCCGACGGTTTAAAGTGCTGCGCATTTGTGGGATGTGGGGGGATGGGCCAAGTTTACTTAATAAATCACTGTGCAGATAGCATCGGTCGCTATCGTCATGCAACCTGACATACTGTATGAACATCAGTATCCGTTTTGATTAAATCAAGACGCACAACATTAACTTCCGGACTTCTGGGTAATGCGCAGCACACTCCTTGCAATCAACTTCCCCAAGTGCTCTCCAGGGAAATCAACAAAAATGAGAGACACCCTTTATGGTGGGGCTAGATGAGCATCAACATTTATTAGCCAAGTGCTCCCGTTAATGTCACGCCAGGTATATCAGTGGCAATTGTACATCATGTATTAGAGGATGTTTTCAAATGGCCAGCGATGTGATAATTTTTATGGCGGTTTAGCACCCAAGTTTTAATGCGAGTACCTTATGTTCAAGTTATTAGCCCTACAATTTGCTCATACCTGCGTTAAGCATTCCCACAGATTCCTGATCCGTGAACAATGTGTACCAGTACATAACATACACAAATTGGCTGAAATACACTGAATAAGACCTTTTTCTTCTTAAAACAATGAAGGCCTGATCAAACCTTTCCATATCTATATGGATGCTTGGCCTAAGCAATGTCTTCGTTTTTGCTTTATAGTGTGGTTAATTTGATGCAATTTACATTCCCTCAAGAGAATTACAATAGTCTGACTATGCCATCAATATCCAATTAACTTGACTCGCAGTCAAGGCCATCCAAATCAATGTCAAAATCACCTGGATATTCCTTTCAAATTTCAATGTAACTGAGCATGTACATGTACGCAAGATCTTGACAAGAACATACAATGGTGTACTTACATGTATGTGTAATACCGGTAGAAGTACCATAGTGTGTGCCGGTAAATGAACATACATGTACATGCATACATGTACATGTATTACATGAACACTGTACAATGTACAGTACATGTACCGCATGTACCCAGGCACGGATCCACAAGTGAGGGGGTTGTGGTCAGAAACCCCCTTGACACACACACTCACAAGTGTGTATTTGCCTGCAATCGAGGACCCCCTATTGTCCCTCTTTTGTTTGTACTTCAACTTTTGAGGAAGACCTCCCATATGTTTTGTACACGAATCCAAATTGAGGACCTCTAGGGAATTGGGGACCTTATTGTCCTCTATTGTTCAACGTCCCCTATTGAATGCAGAAACAAACTCACAGATTGCAAGTAACAATACGCGCTGCATTACCCACATGTCCCCCTGTCCACAACAATCAGACATAAACAAATCTGACGGGCCTGAACCACCCCCCCCCCCCCTCCCCACGGCAAAATTACCTGGATCCGCCCCTGGTACGGTACACCTAGGGCTATAAAGTTGGCATTTGAAAATAATCGGTATAAAATCAGGGCACGTACAAACATACACTTGTCTACAGGCACATATCGGTACGTAACAAAACAGAGTGTCCAGTCCAAAATAGTCTGCAATAGCCATGCCGGGACACCCATTCTGGCTAAAACCTAGCGTGTTGAAAGTTGAAATTTGCGATAAAAAGCAATCCTTTTATTTCTAATACTTTGTACGTGTACATGTTTTTATTAGATTTTCT